GCTGTGAGTCCACTCTATGCTCTGGTTCGGCTAGCGCACGTGGGTAACTTCTGACATCAAGATTGAATACGGATCTATGAACGGCCTACACGAGCGAATTTGAAAAGGACTTCAAGCAGATGAACAGTGTCGTATTCGGGAAAACCATGGGAATCTACAAAAGCTAATTCGTGTCAATATTGTTAGGAAGAGAAAATTTGACAAACTTCGTAGAATTATTGAGGATTCCGCGTTCAAGTCATGTACGATATTAATTGGATGACTCTTTGTGCACGGCAAGAAATACCGGCTACAGTTAACGTTGGTGTGTCCGTGTTGGAACAGTCCAATATTTTCATATACGAGTTCTACTATGATAAGATTAAACCACGACATGGTGGCAACGTCAAGATACTGTTCACGAACACCGTTTAGTTTCTGATGCATATTTACAAAATGATGAGGTCTACCAAGACATGGTTGAGTCATCGCTGGTTAAAGAACTTCTGAGTGAGTGGCGAATGTAAGGTGAAGTTGTTTACATTTTGCAACATGGACAGTGGAGAGAATATTGATATACCTCCATGTTATTTTCATGTACTGTGGCTGAAATTTCTTTGGATACGGTACTTATGGAAATTGTACCTGATCTAAGCACACTACTAAAATGATTGCTTCCTTGCGCCTAGTCTAAAGTACAATAGTTTCAGCAGTTATTAAAATAGGGAATCAAATTTTACCAATCTAGACAGTATCAGCTTCTAAAAGTGAAATGAATGAATTAGCAAATATAACACAATCAAAACAACTTATCTGCTCTGTTTAACAATTTAACTCTGAAGTCCAGGAAGTGAAAATGACAACGAGGAGCTAGCAGTTGTTCGAAAGGTGCACATCTGAAGTAAGGCTAAACCCAATATTTCCCACATCAATCATACACCAAAAAAAATGGAATTCAAAGTTCTTTGAATAATACCTAAGATATACAAGATCTTATTAAATAGCCAATATAATTAGTGAGAAAAACCATGGAAATTCTTTTTCTTTAAAAATCCAAACCTATGCAAAATACAAAACTGTAGAACACCATTTCACGAAAACGAATCTATCACGGGACCACGTTAAGAAATACTATGCCATTTTTTATATACAAGTTAAAGTACTACATCATTAAAGAGCTACATTTCAAAGCTGCATTTAGTTAACAATGTATTTCTAAATAAAAAGGTACATTTCATAGATACATTCAATTAACAATGTTTTTCTTAGTTTAACTATGCTAAATGACCTGTGTATACGTTAAGGAAAAAGAGCTCATACAACTTCGTTGCACAATAATATATGTGTTGTTTGTCTTTTGCTTTCAGCAAAAACGAGGAACCCATTTGCCTCATACATCTAGACTAGGATTATAATTAATAATGCTGAACACGAATGTAGTCCCAATATATTTTTAGAATTCATTTTCCGATCTTGGCTTGGTAGTAATTCTTGGCTTGGATGTGGGCTTTTTTTGGAAATGATTTAAAATAAATTATCTATCTTTTAGAATAAGAAGATTATGGTGTGCTTGTCTGTGTGTATTTTGGCTGCAGTGCACGGAAAGTAATCAGGCACTGATGCTATATTCGAAATGAAATCTGCGATCCATGTTAAGGTGCTGTGTTCGGCCTTTCCAAAAGATGCTGGAAAACCTATGAAAAGAACTTAATTGTAAGTCTCGTTAAGGAAGATGCTTTAAATCAAGGGACATTGACCGCTGAGTCATCATCATTACAGTAGCTAATTCAAACTCGTTCATTTGTTTCGAATATAAAAGATTTAGTGAATACAAACTAGTTTGAATCAATATTAAAATCGTCAAATATACTCGTACAATATGCTGTCCATATTCACAACTAAACAATGGCTGTTCTTGCTCGTTGGAAAGCTCCATAATTTCGAAATTCATATTAAATTCTTCTCTAGAATTGATGAGCCAGTTTCTGCGAATTGTATTGTCACTAATATTTACAAATTCCAACTATTGGTGATGAATTGGCCAAAAGAATGTATGATTGATCACCATGCCTGGTAATCTAAGACTGACATGTTGACATGCATGAGGCTTTGAAGTATACGTCTGGATTAATATTTATAGTATGAATTACTGAGCATACTATCACGGTGCACACAAATAACGGAGTCTAGCTATACTTCGAACTAGAAGCATATTATTGAATAATTATATTATAGACGTTTCAGTTGCAATTAAAAAGTAGCATTCATGGTAAAAGAACTTTATACGCAAAGAATAAACAAGTGACATCCACTCTCTCCCCATAGGGGCCCCGAGTGGCCGAGTGGTCTAAAGCGCTATCCGTTACGGATCACTGCCATCTCACCTCTGTCTGCGTGTATTCGAGTCTAGGATTCGGCTAATGTAGATATGTGAGAAAGCTTGCCAGTAGCTTCTCGTGGGTCGGTGGTTCTTTCCGGTGATTTCCCGGTTTCTTCCTCCACCATTAATACTGGCCGCCATGAATAGCCTATCGTGTGCTGAAAAATGGCGTTAAGCCCATCAACATCAACTCTCTCCCCATGGTTAACTACAGGCATTGAATTCTGAGCAATTCCAAACTACTTAATATGTCTGGCTCATTGACAATACCAAAAATGTTATGTAAAGCAACACACACACACATACACACACACACACTTACACACACACTAACAAAGAGCATTTGGATTTTCTTGTAATATATTTTGAGTTTCAAGACAGACACACTACAAGATGCAAGGAAAAACCTTTATATTGCTATTCGTTCATCTGCCTTCATTGCATGGTTATAAATCAAGTTTGTTTTCCTTAGGTAGACATGCGTACGTGTTAAGCAAAGTTGGGTGCACAAGTATCTGCACTTAAAATCTTGCAAGATTATTAAGTGCTTTGTTTCAAAATCCGGGTTCATTGTGCATCTTTCCACAAAGTTAGCTTCCAGCACTCTATGGTGTAAACATGAATTGAACCCGACTTCGTTTCGTACAGTACAGGTACTAAATCTGTTTGTATATGAGGACTGACTTTAATTTACTGTAAACTGTTGTCAAAAAAAAACATTAAGTAAAAATTGCACACCAAGTTGCTGCCTTTGTTTTCCAGACACCTCGTCTGAAACCATCTTACATCTCCGGAATGTGAAATTGTTGTTGTTGTTGTAGAGTTTAACGCAATTTCAGCACATGATAGACTGTAAATGGCGGCCAGTATAAATGGTGGAGGAAGAACCAGGGAAAACCCCGGAAAAACCATCGACCCATAAGAAGCTACTGGCAAGCTTTCTTACATACCCACATTGACCGAGCCCGAGACTCGAACCCAAGCAGACAGAGATGGCAATGGTCTGTAACGGTGAGCACTTTATACCACTAGATCACTAGGGGCCCCACGTTAAATAGTAATTAATGTTCATACTCTACATTACCGTACTGTAACACCTGGTCGCCATGCTCTGTTAGTAAACTCGCTAATGTGGTGAGGGTTTATAAATAATCAACCACCATTTCGCCCTCAACAAGAAACAAGTTTTTTTAAAAACGCCAAGAACTAGTTGCACAAGGCAACATATATATATATATATATATATATATATATATATATATATATATATATATATATATATATATATATATATATATATATATATATATATGCATGCATGCATGCATGCATGCATGCATGCATGCATGCATACATACATACATACATACATACATACATACATACATACATACATACATACATACATACATACATACATACATACATACATACATACATACATACATACATACATACATACATACATACATACAATGAAAACATCAAATTGTGTCTCAAAGTTAAATAGATTACATAGCCAACTACACTTTAGGCTAAAGCATGTTGTGTTTTTTTTTTCAGGCATTTTCAACACATTATTTGCTAAATTAAAAATAAGTTCATTGGCCAAGGACACGCCTAGGCAGTAAACCCATGCTGGCCCGCCTGAGTATCAACGATCTACCCTACCTGATATACTGCTGTTAGCAGAATGAAATAGAACCGAGTCATTAATTATGAAAAGACAATAAGCGCTCATATTATAATTTTGCTTCCACTGGTCTTTATTTGGGACACTAAACATACTCGATAAATGTTACTTTTTGTAATATACTGAAACTACAGGTGGTCAATGGGGACATCAAATCTTAAACAAACGTAATTTGAATGCGATTTCTGTATAAATAATTGCAAACAAATGAGTGTTCTGTAACACTAGGCTATCTAGTTTCTTTAGAACAAAAACATTGAGTATTAAATCATTGGAATTCCAATCTAACATTCTCGTATTCATATTTAATATTTTATATTTGTACAGGAAAATGATAGTACTTGTCCTTGTCCCCCATTTTCATTTATTGATATTATATGTGTTACATGTGTTGCTTTTTAGAAGAAATAAATGTTAATTTTGAAGAAAAAATAGTGTATACTTGTTTCTGTGTTTTCATTTTTAACTATGTCTCTTTGGGTTTAGCATATTATTCTTTCCGTATTTGTCCTTGCCTGATGATGGAACCGGTTGAATGCTGGACTGTATTTATATATTGCCATCTCTGGAGACATGGTGCTTGTTAGGAAAGACTATTTGGCAAACGGGAATAGAAGGCTGACGGTAAGGAGAGGCGGCTGACGATCGGTAAAGTCCGGTGAACAGGTGTATGACTTCGCAGCAGAGCCAAACTCATGTAAAGAGGATGTGATGTGATTATGATTTTTAACGTAGCTTTAACAATATTTCAGTCATATCCCTACGATGTCTGCAGTGTGGCAGTTTATAGTGATGTATAGCACTGGGGTATCATGCCGCAGACATGTAGCATGATGTCCCACTCTGTCACATTACACTGACACCAGGCCAACCAGTCCTAACACTAACCTCGTAATGCTGAGCGTCAAGCGAGGCAGCTGTTAGTACTATTTTTGTAAATCTTTGGTATGACTCGACCGGGGATCGAACCCACGACCTCCCGCATCCGAGGCGGACGCTCTAACCACAAGGCTATGGTAGCGGTTAATGTAAAGAGGAAATTACAATGTTACTGTGGATGCATATGCTGTGAGATAGCCCCAAAGTCTTGTGATAGCCGGGGTTGGTGGAGTGATTTGCCTAATGACTAGATCATGCATACAAGCACAGATACAGACAACTAACCATAGTACGTACATATCTAGAGCTTGAAGTTGGGGCAAAACATTTAAAAATGACAGCTGCCTAAATTTAACGTATCAAGATGGGGTGTCCTCCGATCTTGAATCTAGTCCAACGCACATGACACCCTGATGTGACGCAGGAGTATACGGACCAGGATAGACGTCACAAGGTCCAGCATCTTCAAGTGCTATAAGATGAAAACGAGTTCAGCAACTAGGGAGAAAATATCAATGCTTTGATGAATTGGAGAGGGAGGCAGGAGCTGGATATCCGAGGAAGCGCTGCAACGGTAAGCGAGAGTGTCATTGAAATTACTTGTGAGATAAAACAAAAAATCATGGAGACAGTCTCATTAGGATATGGAGAAACTATCGGAAGGAACATTGACAGGAAATGTTAACAGAAAAGTAGAAACCATAACAACCATCATCTACAGTGTGGGGAAAGGTTGATTTTGGATAGAAGAAACGAAGCCAAAAATAAAACCGCAGATTTCGGAAGATGCAAACATAAGAGCAGACTTTGTGCAATTCATATGTTGCAACAGAAAATGCCGACAATATTCTGATTGCGACTGTTTCTACTTATGTCACCCTGTTGTGCTATTTAAATAACAGTAGTTATGAATGTGGCTCTCAATGGTGGCGATTTATATTTTTCTTTCCGAGGAAACTACGATTGTATATGTGTGTGACAGCGAGCATGACCTTACCGTTTTCAATTGGAAGTATTAGAAGCAACACAATTTATATGTTGATTTTATTGAAGTATATGCACGTAATGTAATTCCTATAGTTTTAAAAGTTACATTTTCCTCATTTTTGTCCGATAAAAATGCATTTTAATGCCACTACATCAGCCTTTGTATACTTACATTAAGCATATGCATAAATCAGAAAATCAAAGCCGAAAATAATTAGAAAGGTTAAGTCCGAGTTTCTTCTGAAATGGTAAGCCTGAAGCATTTAAACTATTTTTCTGCATATGCCTCTGCATTATGTTAATTATAAGGATGATTGCTTGTGAAATAAAGTTGCATGTAACTTTTTTGAAGAATTTTTATTTTTATTTAGCGCATTGTCACAGCCATCCAAAATCATTTTAAAATACATCTGATGGTGTCAATTTTCTTGCGGTACTCATAACTTAACTTCTATCTTCAAGCATGTTTCATTACCCAGAAACTATAGAAAAAGTATCAAGTCACTATTTTTCCATAAAATAATAACTGAACGGTTTGTTAAAAATTCATAAAATTAACAGACTGAATATTGTATACTACTCTTATAAAATACGTAATGAAAAGCGTATATTGTTGAATTATTGTTTTCAGTATGACATAATGATATGGATCATATCGATTAATTTCAAAAGAAAGATTGTGTGCAGATTTACGACAGGTCATAAATCGCTAAAAATGTCACAAGGTATCGTACATTTTTCGTTGAATATATCTTGTTTTCTCATGTGTGTGTATGTGTGTGTGTCTGTGTGTGTTTTGAATTTTTATCGTAGCTTAAAATAACTTAGCGCAATGATGTCTGCATTTTATAGTTATATCTAGCACTAGGGCATCATGCCGCACAAACACGTAGCATGATGCCTCACCGAGTTAAATTATTTTGACACCAGGCCGACCAGTCGTAACACTAACCTCTTAATGCTGAGCGTCAGGCAAGGCAGCTGCTAATACCATTTTTACAAATCATTTATATGACTATGCCGGGGTTCGACCCCGCCACCTCTCGAATCCAATGCGGAAGCTCTAATCACTAGGCCACCGGAGAAGTCTCTATTTTCTAAAAACTCTTGTTACGATTAGCACAATTATATAAAAAAAACTGTTTAATTGCTAATATGATACAGATTTCACAACCAGGTTTATTGTATGGCCGGTCTATCCCAAATTTCACAAACCCTTGGTACCGATACACCCATGTACCAGTCAGCATTTGAACAATGATGTCATAGTGATCACGTGATTTCACTGATTCACAAACATGCGGAATGCCTTTATGTTATCTAATGTTACCTTTTAGTAATGATCTGTTGAGGAAATTGAACCTTACATATATAACGGCACGTGCTTATATTTTTGTTTCACAAATAATCTTTACAGTATGACGAGTGAACTGCGGACGCCAACAAACTACAATGTATTCACACGAAAGATCTACCATGTATATCTAATAAAACAATAACATAAATCAGTACAAAGGCGATATACAGTTGCTGTTGGATTTTTCAGATCCATTTCAGTATTAACACCGCTTTATGTACAAGTCTAAATGATCATTTTCACGGCACGAATAAAACTTACAATGAATGATTGAAACAGTTTAACATATGTTGTTGTTGTTGGGCTTAACGCCATTTTTCAGCACACGATAGGCTATTCATGGCGGCCAGCATTAATGGTGGAGGAAAAAACCAGGAAATTACCGGAAAGAACCACCGACCCACGAGAAGCTACTGGCAAGCTTTCCCACATATCCACATTCGCCGAATCCTAGACTCGAACACACGCAGACAGAGGTGAGATGGCAGTGATCCGTAAAAGACAGCGCTTTAGACCACTCGGCCACTCGGGGCCCCCAGTTTAACATATACAGTGTGCATATATGCACAAGAATGTGCCATATGATAAATCAACGTAATTGTTTGTTATCAAGCCTTGTGCTGGGTGTCATTAGGAACATAGAAAATAAATTGTGCACTACGAATATAACGTTGTGCGTGCGTGCGTGCGTGCGTGCCTGCGTACGTACGCACGTACGTACGTACGTACGTACGTACGTACGTACGTACGTACGTATGTATGTATGTATGTATGTATGTATGTATGTATGTATGTATGTATGTATGTATGTATGTATGTATGTATGTATGTATGTATGTATGTATGTATGTATGTGATTAATCAAACCGTTTAAGACTGATTTAAAGTAATAATTTTTTGCAAGCAGGAATCCTACGCGCGTCCTGATCAACGGCATCTATTATCTAGCTCCCACAAACCAGCAAAAATCTTTACCTGGAAATGCTCTCATACTCTTCGCCCCCCCCCCCCAACAAATAAAAAAAATGAGCAGGGTTGAAAGAAAGAGATCAATGTGCACGAGAAGTAACAAACTCGCTAGTCAAGCATAAATTAGCATTCAGCTAAAAAAAATTTTAATACATCGACATGATTACAAAAAAATGCCAATGTTTAAATCCATTTATACAATTACTGGTGAGAGTTTCAGTTCATATTTAATCACCAAATCACCTCTGACAAAGGAACTATGCTTCCAAAGTTTGTGTTCTTTTTGCATTGTAAAGAAACTTTGTTTCCTGGATGAAGATATGGCATTTTTAGTTCTTTTTCTTCTACGTAGATCTCGTAGGAATCGTTCTGGTCACTTCCAGTCGATTCTGAGTTTGGAAAAAGTATAATTGAGCACGTGGAGTTGGTCCGTACAGACGGACGAAAATACTCTTTCAATACCACTCATAATCCGGTTTTATCGTAGCTAAACCTTTGTCTTCCCTGCCCTTTCCTATCGGGGCAAAAGTTCCCTGCCCTTCTCTGTCTGGGCAACATTTTTCTCTTTAAGAGCTGACCTTACAGCAAATTATTGACAAAATACAGTACAGATTATCTGGGTACTTTTAATGGCTTAAATCACAAACACACGCACGCACGTACGCACGCGCGCGCGTACACACATGCACGCACAAAGTATAAATTATATATATCGATATGAAATTAACTTTATCTGTCCTTTAGAATATACACTTATATCTAAATTGGCTTCTCTGTCAGTTATGCACTTCAACAGATATTAAAATTTTCCCATCTACAATGTTTTTATTAGTAAGTTCTATTTTTACTGTTACAAATACTGAGGATTCAGCGATGAAGGAACTAGCTTACTGTTTCCTTATATACATATATTAATTGCAATATATTTATTGTATTCAGTCAGGAGCGGTAAAAGAAAGTAAATGTTGACTTTAAAGAGTCCATGATCTGATATTGTTGTCTTAGTCACTGAAGTAATATGGCCAAACAAATAAAAAAGCAAACAAAGCCAAAACAAATCCAACAGGAATATAGCAAAAAGGGTCTGATTTTATTTTCAGAAACTATACTGGTTTCGTAAATAAGTAAGACAATTTAATAACATTTTGCACTGAAATAAATATTTGGTTATTATGGGTTTTTTTTCCCGAATGTACAGGACACCACTTAATGCTTCAATGGTTAGGAACGATTATTTTACCTGGTCTAATTTCTGTACATTTAGCAACCTCAGATTTCTTTATTCTGTTCACTATCATATATCTAGATTGACTGGAAATGAACCTTGCATAACTCGGCGTATTGTTTTCAAAACAGCTATTCCTTGTTTTAAAATGTTCTTTGAATATCTTCATGCCGATCCATACAAGGAGGATAATCAATAACCTTGCACTGGTTTTAAGTGCACGAACAAGGTAAGCCTTTAGTGAGTAAGCATTTTTTTTGGTTTATTCAAATCAGAGTCAGAATTTCAAACACTGTTAATGAAATTATAGCAGATTCACCTTTTTTGAAGCAACACATTTATTTGTGATTTAAGAGATCGTCAATATTGTTGATTACATTCTTCGCGAAAATTTATATTTAAATATCAGAACACCCACAAGTAGCATATGAAAAATACGCAATTTTCAAGTGGTGGCTTGTGTTGAATATTGAAACTGAAAACGTGTACAGGTAGTATATGAAAATTAAAAACGTGTACACGTCGTATATGGATACTGAAAACGTGTGCATGTGATATATGGAAGTTAAAATCGTGTGCACGTAGTACATGAAAACTGAAAACC